GTCTGATTTATATACTGAAGCACTTTAAAAACGCATTAGATATTAAAATAACGCAGCGCATGTGATTAGTATAAATATAAATCTAGACAATCATATAGTTTTTAAGATATCCAGATTTTTGGAGACATTTTTTTGAGAAAAAAGAAGTGCAACATTTTAACAACAAAAGTTAATTTAAACTATTGTGTGATTCGAACATATTTTAGCAATCATATATGCACCTTATCACATAATTATTGATATATAATATTTTGGAATGTTGTGTTCAACTTCTGAATCAATGTTTGAGGGAGCTCAATGGCAAGTATTAGTACGTATTTGACGATGAGGCCTTCAACGTTTCCTCACTGTAAACCCCACAAGTCCCGTAGAAAATATATCTTGATGATACCACAGTGTCCTTATAACTTTCATAACAAGGAATGAGCTTTCGCCGTTAATGTCGCAGGAAAAGCAACAGCATCAATAGCAGTAATAGGGTAAGAAGAGGTAGAATAGCAGAAGAAAGTAGAAGCAGTAATAAAAGCAACAGTAGCAGAAGGACTAGCAAAGCAGCAGAAGCAGCAGAAAAAGAAATAGCTGAATCAGTAGCTGTAACAGTACCAGTTGTAGTAGTGAAGTCGTAGTAGCAACAATAGCAGCAGCATTAACAACAGCAGTAATAGTAGAAGTAACAGCAGCAGAAGTAGCAGTAGTAGTAGCGCTAATAGCAATAGCACTAATAGCAGTTGCACTAATAGCAGCAGCAGCAGCAGCAGTAGTAGTAGCAGCAGCAGCAGCAGCAGCAGTAGAAGTAGCAGCAGTAGCAGTAGTAGTAGCAGTAGTAGTAGTAGCAGTAGTAGTAGTAGTAACATTAATTATAGAAGTAGTAGTAGCAGTTGTAGTAGCAGTTGTAGTAGCAGTAGTAGTAGCAGTAGTTAAAGTAACAGTAGTAGTAGCAGTAGTTGTAGTAGCAGTAGTTGTAGTAGAAGCAATAATAGCAGCAACAGAAGAAGTAGCAGTAGTAGTGTTGCAAAGTATTTAAAACAACCATGACCTTGTCTTTATTAGACTACCCATTTCTCTTGTTTGCAGTCGTCAGGTACTTAACACAATGACGTCATTTTGCGATGACAGGGAACCCTAAAGTGAATTTTATTTCGACGTTTCATTTGCAACAGCAACAATTTTGATTTATAAATCGATTTACCCGGCAGTGGAAGGGTAGTAAAATGATTGTGTGGGTTTTAGGATGATATATGGATAAATTACCTTCCAAGATAAAATATCATCCTCGGTCAACGGCTCGGATATAAAATCTTTGCAGGTTATATATCCACACAATATAATATCAATCTAAAACACAAATAACATAAAATAAAAAGCGTCTGAAGTCACACTTTTTCAAGGGAATAAATGTATTCATTTTGTAAAAAAGTGGTTTAATAAGCGGGACGATAATTGTAACAATTTTCAAAAATAACATTATTTTACCTTTACGAGGGCTGATTGATAAATTCGCGAAATTATCCTCTAAAAACCAAATTACTTTATTGAATTACATAAAAACTCGAATAGAGTTTAACCAAAATGTTTGCAATTACATTTCCATATTGCCGAAAATATATCAACATTTTCCTACGAAAACACCGTGTCCATAGCAACCACTATCCTATGACTTGAAGCACGCTGTATTTTAAAGAATACAAGGAAATTTAATCAAGTTGGCACTAACGTTAGTGTGACATCTTGACGTCATTTCCTGTAAATTTAAAGACGATATGTTGAACGGTTGTTTCGCAGCAGCGTTAACCTCAATGTTTACCTAGCGGCGAATCACGTCATCAGACGACATTGAATAACGCGCTATCGTCAAGTTTTGTGTGGGACTGAAACTTTAACCATGTGAAACTCTTAAAAAGATAGAAAATTCAGAAACATTGCCTACTGTTCGAAATTTTTGTATAAATGACATGGGCGGTTAAGAGAATGAAGAAGGAGAAGGAAGAACATCATTGTATGATATCGAAAAAAACTAGTTGGCCGACGTCTACAGTTACTGTTGGAAAAACAGCCCTAGTGACAGCACTGCTGGACATTAACAAGCGCGTTACGGTTCGGGGCATTGCTGAACAACTATCTCTTTCTTATTATGCCGTGGAACGCTTCTGACAGAAGTCGACAAACAGAAGCGCGTGCAGTGTTGCCGAGAATTTCTTAAGCGGTATGAGGCACATGGTGAAGATTTTTTTTAAAGAGGATCGTATCCACGGACGAGACATGGCTGTACTATTATGATCCCAAATCCAAACACCAGTCTTCTATTTGGAAGCCCCTGACACACCTCCACCCAAAAAGGCTCGAGTTCAAATTGCCAAGAAGGAGATGTATATATATACTTCATTGATAGACATGGGCTCGTACTTCAACACAAGGTGCAAGAGAGATCAATCGTAATTGCAGAATATTATTCAAAAGTAAAAAAAAATAACTGTTACTATTTGTTTTGAAAAAAAAACAAAAAACATAAATACGTGTAGAGCTAGCCGGTTGTAGTATTTAATAAATATTGTTTATTTAATTTTAGATAATACATCTGAAAATATTGCCAGAATGCAGTCGTTGTGCGTTATCATCTTTCAGGTGTTACGTCGGGACTATGTACAACCTTGCAACGGAAGTGGCCTCAGCTAAACCTGGAAGATATTATTTTACACCAAGATAATGCCCCCGCACACCGGGCTCACGGCACAAAACTGGAGATTAGTCTGCTCGGGTTCAGTCTACTGCCACACCCGACGTATAGCCCGGACTTTGCACCATTAGACTTCCGTCTGTTACCCGATTTGAAGAAAGAACTGAGTGGCAAACGATTTGAAACATCATTAGAGCTACGCACCAGGGCGCGCGAGATAATGTCGTCGTTCATTTAAGACTGACTTTTGACAAATCGATACACAGACATAAGAGATATGTCGTCACCGGGGTAAATACGTTGAAAAGTGAACCGGACTTTAGACTTTGACGTTAAGGTGACGCCAACTTGTGACAGCGTCGCATCGGCGTGCTTGAAGTGAAGGATAGTGTAGTGTTTTGATTTTGTGTGTAAACTTTATTGTTCAATATATCTCAATTATTAATTTGGCTTTCTGTCGGTCGAGAGTAAAGGGATCTTGTGGTGAAATTTATATGTTATTTTTTCTTAAAATGTTTTAGAAATACTACAATTCCGCGAATTAATCAATCAGCCCTCTTACATTATTCAGCATTCTCCTTAATTATTATCTATATGATTGTTAAACTTTTATATCAAATAGCCCCCACACACGAACACAGAGAATCAAAGAAGAGAATATCATTAAGCACAAGCAGGTTGTACCTTTGTTCCGCAAACAAAAATACCTTATAATTATTCAGAACAGATACTATTTTTGTTTCATATTATTATGCCTTTCAATGTATTTTGCCATCTTGTTTCATGCATTTCGTCACAGTATTTTCTTTTAATTACATATTTTCTTTGATGTTCACTTATGTTTGATATTATGTCATCATTAAACAATAGAAGTCATTTTGAGACATTTTACAAGTAAGAATAATAATTTAAAAGAACACTATCTATTTTTATATTGATTTTGTTGACAATTAGATTTATTTTTCTTCATAAAACTTTCTCCAAGTTTTTTTTAATAATGATAAATGTGATCATGCATTTGTATAGTTTTGATATCACAAATCTACAAATCTGTGAAAACATTTTAAATACTATACCAAAAGAGAATCATATAAATTAAATTTTGTAATGTACATATTGAAATTTTCATTTTAATATATATTTTTAGATTCAGGTTCAGCGGCGGATGATGAGTCATTTCAAAGTATATCACCAAAAGAGATGGACCCGTTGGATAAGAAGTACCTACTTATGATACTGTTTTATGAATTGTTTTCGCTCAATTTTTACATAATATGACAGGACAATAAAGAAAGACAATTTTTAAAACTTAAGTGTGTGAAAGATGATAATGCAGAATTTTTATGCAAATAAGAACATTTGAGAGGTTCTACTAATTGTGTGTATGTCTGGGTCTTTTGTTGCTGTGTTTGTGTTCCTAAATTAAACTAAAAACGGATATTTGGCAACTTATATTTACAAGAACGTGTGTTTTAAACAAATGCCCTCGGTTAAGATACTTGTCAGTAATATATAAAAAATATAGAAATATATAGAAAAATTGACTAAAAGTCGTAAATACATTCATTTAATTTGACAGATTTGTTAAACTGTGAAGAACAAAAAAAAATGCATGTCATTGCTATTACTTGTGATAAAGATTAAGATAAAAATATCCAACTAACCAATACAACATTATAAATGCAAAACCTTGATAATGAACCATTTGATCCCAGCTCCAACAAAGCTTCAATGACCACCTATGTATTATATATATAAAAAGGACACATTTAAAATATTACCAAATGTTTGTCATTTCCTTTCCCGGTGATGTTAATCTTGCTTGTATCTATGCAAAATTACATTCGGATAATATATGTCTTGGCGTTTAAACATAATTTGCTGAAATATTTAAAGAAAGTTGTTACAGTTATAATTTTTGCAGCAGGTGGTCTCCAAAGGATTTAGAAATATTCAAACATCCAATGTGGTTAATCAGGTCCGTTATTGAAACAAACGAAGCAGGAAAAGAAACCAAGACACTCCTTAAGAGCGAAGAAAAAGTATTTGATCAAATATCACAGATAGAGTGGCCAATAGTTGTTGTAGCCGTTGCAGGTTTGTCCAGAACTGGAAAATCGCATCTAATGAATCGTCTGGCGGAGTCGGGCAAAGGTATGTAAATGTAATATTATCGATATCAAATTAGTTCAAAATTCACTGATCTATACAATTTAATCAAAATGTCATTTTGATAGCTATAAATTTTATAATAAGTACTTTGTTCCTTACCATTTTGCCCAAAAAGAAATGGAAGTTGAAGTTCTGTTTTGAATAATGCTGATGTAGGTTTTGAGGTGGGAGATACGATTCAAAGCACAACAAAGGGCATTTGGGCTTGGTGTAAAGTACATCCAACACTGCCGAATACTGTTCTGCTGCTTCTTGATACCGAAGGACTTGGCGATCCTGAAAAGGTATGAATAGTTTATTCAAAAGCAATTTTTGTATTTACAAAACAATAAGAAAGCAATAGCAATCATAATGTATAAAAGAAATAAATTTGCGTTCCAATCTAATAACAGACCTAAAACAGTATTAACATGATGTTGTTAAAGTCTTTTTCTAATGATATTATTAAACAGGGTGACCCAATTCATGACAACAAGATTTTTACCCTCGCGACACTCCTTTGCAACTGTTTAGTCTACAACACAAAGGGAACGTTCGACTACGACACCATCTCTAAACTCACGTATCCTTTTTAGTTTGAAGTAACATGATTCCTACTTTGTTTTAAATGTATGTGAATGTATTATTAAAGCGGAGTGTAAACCTTTGCTCTCAGGTTTTAAATTGGACGCCGCCTTTTTATGTTGACCTTGTTTGTCATATTTTAAAACAATCACACTACTTGGTATTAATTGTTTATTCATAATTATGTTATATGATATAATACAAATTGTGAGATTTAACTTTAAGTTCCACCAAACCGCCAACGATTATTTTATATTAAGTTAGAATGTTATTGCACCCCTTTGTTAACCCATTACTTCATATACACGCCTTTTAACGCCTTTTTCACCCCCCCCCTTTTTGTTGTCTGAAATGATGAAAAAATGCCTAATTTAGGCCCCAAACACTTGTTTTTGTTTGAGAAATGTTGTTAAAAAAAGTGACCTCTTTTTCGGCGCGGCCCCCCAACCAAAAGATACATCAGGGGGTTGCCAGAAGGGGGATGTGCGCCCTTCTGTTTGGGGGGTTTTGAAGGGGAGCGGAGTCCCCCTCATCGCCAAGAAAAATTTTGGACTTGTGAGAGGCTGTAAATGACCCCAGATTGATCATAAGGTAACATGTAACCAACGCTGAAAAGCATTTGACTCTATCTCAATCCATTGAGAAAGTGCAGCACTTTGAAATCAATTTTGATGGAAAAAATCAACGCAAAATAGTGATTTTTGGCAATTTTGAGATGTCCCCTCGTTGCCATGGTAACAGAAAATTTAAGCCTGAGCATGTTGTTGCAAGTGCAACGGTCCAGTCAACATTTGTGCCAAGTTTGATTAGTGTTGAAGCAGTTTTTATAGTATTATAGCAATTTGAACTTGTAACGGGAGACTTTTCAATGAAAACACCCATTTTTCACAAAATGCTCATGAAGTAATGGGTTAATGAAAAAAATAAAAAAATCTACAAAACAACAATTTTTCTTCAAATTTATATGACAGGCCATGTTTAAACATGAAAAAACGCGATTTAGGGTAATTTCAAGTATTTTCATCATTTTCAGTTAATGAAAAAAATAAAAAAATCTACAAAACAACAATTTTTCTTCAAATTTATATGACAGGCCATGTTTAAACATGAAAAAAAAACCGCAAATTTAGGGTAATTTCAAGTATTTTCATCATTTTCAGTTAACCCATTACTTCATATACACGCCTTTTAACGCCTTTTTCACCCCCCCCTTTTTGTTGTCTGAAATGATGAAAAAATGCCTTATTTAGGCCCCAAACACTTGTTTTTGTTTGAGAAATGTTGTTAAAAAAAGTGACCTCTTTTTCGGCGCGGCCCCCAACCAAAAGATACATCAGGGGGTTGCCAGAAGGGGGATGTGCCCCCTTCTGTTTGGGGGGTTTGAAGGGGGGCGGAGTCTCCCTCATCGACAAGAAAATTTTGGACTTGTGAGAGGCTATAAATGACCCCAGATTGATCATAAGGTAACGTGTAACCAACGCTGAAAAGCATTTGACTCTATCTCAATCCATTGAGAAAGTGCAGCACTTTGAAATCAATTTTGATGGAAAAAATCAACGCAAAATAGTGATTTTTGGCAATTTTGAGATGTCCCCTCGTTGCCATGGTAACAGAAAATTTAAGCCTGAGCATGTTGTTGCAAGTGCAACGGTCCAGTCAACATTTGTGCCAAGTTTGATTAGTGTTGAAGCAGTTTTTATAGTATTATAGCAATTTGAACTTGTAACGGGAGACTTTTCAATGAAAACACCCATTTTTCACAAAATGCTCATGAAGTAATGGGTTAATGAAAAAAATAAAAAAATCTACAAAACAACAATTTTTCTTCAAATTTATATGACAGGCCATGTTTAAACATGAAAAAACGCGATTTAGGGTAATTTCAAGTATTTTCATCATTTTCAGTTAATGAAAAAAATCAAAAAATCTACAAAACAACAATTTTTCTTCAAATTTATATGACAGGCCATGTTTAAACATGAAAAAAAAAACGCGATTTAGGGTAATTTCAAGTATTTTCATCATTTTCAGTTAACCCATTACTTCATATACACGCCTTTTAACGCCTTTTTCACCCCCCCCCCCCTTTTTGTTGTCTCAAATGATGAAAAAATGCCTTATTTAGGCCCCAAACACTTGTTTTTGTTTGAGAAATGTTGTTAAAAAAAGTGACCTCTTTTTCGGCGCGGCCCCCAACCAAAAGATACATCAGGGGGTTGCCAGAAGGGGGATGTGCCCCCTTCTGTTTGGGGGGTTTGAAGGGGGGCGGAGTCTCCCTCATCGACAAGAAAATTTTGGACTTGTGAGAGGCTATAAATGACCCCAGATTGATCATAAGGTAACGTGTAACCAACGCTGAAAAGCATTTGACTCTATCTCAATCCATTGAGAAAGTGCAGCACTTTGAAATCAATTTTGATCGAAAAAATCAACGCAAAATAGTGATTTTTGGCAATTTTGAGATGTCCCCTCGTTGCCATGGTAACAGAAAATTTAAGCCTGAGCATGTTGTTGCAAGTGCAATGGTCCAGTCAACATTTGTGCCAAGTTTGATTAGTGTTGAAGCAGTTGTTATAGTATTATAGCAATTTGAACTTGTAACGGGAGACTTTTCAATGAAAACAGCCATTTTTCACAAAATGCTCATGAAGTAATGGGTTAACATACAATTATTGGATATTTCTTGAAATATTTATGTGGCTAAAATTCGAATAATGCAAAAAACCCAGCAAAAAACGTTTATAAAGGCGTTTATAAAGTTCATTAATACTGTTATGACAGCAAATATATGTAAACAAAAATGTTAAAAGATCATAAGCTTTTAAGAATGCATTCTGTTAAAATAATTATTCTTCTATAATTATGTTATAGCTTAACTAAAGTAGATTTGTAACAGAAATGGCAAGTACTATAAGATTTCGGGGACAATCGTCTGAGGATAACCTTTCGATTAAACTCATTCTTCCTGACTTTGTTCTCTGTTTGAGAGATTTCGGTCTAAAATTGATTAAGGATGGGGAGAAGATATCAGAAAACGATTATCTTGAGCAAAGGTTAGCGGAAAACAAAGGCAAAGCAGAACAGTTCAACACACCAAGAACATGCATCAAAAAAATACTTTACGAGACGCGAGTGCTTTGCTTTCCCAGTTCCATGTTATGATAGTAGGGATCTTTACAATCTTGAAAAGTTGAGCTTTGCTGACTTATCTACTACGTTTCAGGAAGTAACAACTCGATTTTTATCCTATATATACAAAATACCACCGAAAGAATTGCTAGCCAGTAAACCATTAAATGGACAAAGTAAGTTTTAAATGACAATAATTATTGAAAGTACGAATTTAATCATATCATACATACAAAGCATTAATTTTGAAGCTTCTTTACCCACAGGCAGCAGTATCAGTGTTTGGACACCCCACCCCTATCTGCCCCTGGACCCCTACTACAATCCTGAAATAAAAAATTCAACATTCTAAAACTTACTATAAGGTACCTAAATACAAAACCACCGATGAAATTATATAAAAAAAAAAGTTTCCCACTATCAAAATTATAGTTATAGAAAGGTGAAAAGCCTACTATATGTTCATTTGCCAAACAATGTGGAACACGGGAAATCGTCGTTTCGGTGACTGAGGCGCATTCCGACAGGATTTCGCTGCATCATTCATTAAAATTAATAAAAAGAACTAGAATTCCACAGCTTATTTAATTCAAGACTAACGAATATCACTAGCATTCCGATTTTTTCTGTTTCACGGTATTTTTTGAATTGTCGTAGCCATTTTGCAGTCTGATACCTGGGTTGAAATACGCGATCTGATTGGACGAGCCAAATTTGTCGTCCAATCAGATCGCGTATAACACACAGGTATCAGAATCCAAAATGGCAGCGACAAGTAAAAAATTATCGTGAAATAGAAAAAATCGATAGAATATTGATATTCGTTAAACTTGAATTAGGTAAGCTGTGGAATTCAAGTTTTTTTATTGATGTAAATGAATGATGCAGCAAAATGCCTTCGGAATGCGCCTCAGTCGCCGAAACGACGATTTCCCGTGTTCCACATTGTTTGGCAAATGAACATATAGTAGGCTTTTCACCTTTCTATAACTATAATTTTGATAGTGGAAATTTTTTTTTATATAATTTCATCGGTGGTTTTGTATTTGGTACTTTATAGTAAGCCTTAGAGTGTTGAATTTTTTTTCAGGGTTGTAGTAGGGGTCCAGGGGCAGATAGGGTGGGGTGTCCAAACACTGATACTGCCACCTGTGTCTTTACCGACAACAATCTGTACTGCTATATGTTACATAAACAGAACATAAATGTAGACTGCATATATGTATGCAACAAATAGCAAAATATATAGCCTACAATGTACATGTTATATAAACAAAACATAAATGTAGACTGCATTTATGTATGCAACAAATAACAAAATATTTAGCCAACAATGCAAAGGTATCTATAAATTACAAATGGAAATACCTTAAGCATATCCATAATATGCTTAACTTTAATTCGAGTTTATTCTAAGCCATTGATGATACAATTTGAAACTCTTAGGCAACCTCTATACGAAATTATATGTTATCTTCAAACACATCCATTTGTTTTAATAAATGTTAGATAAAGCATAATAGATCAATATAACCGTTTACTAAATAAATAACGTCAATTTCTTTCGATCGAATATATTGAATATAAGTTCATTCCTAACTTAAGATCACAATTGTTGTTAGCAACTGTAATTGGTAGTAGCCTCGGTAAGTATAACATTTAAGTATATGTCTGTATATGTACAAAAAAACATTGCCCTTTCTTCCTTATCTTTGTATTCCCCTTTTGAAATTTAATAACATATCACCACTACCGACGCTACTACTCTCATTTGATTTCCATGGACTTTTCTTATTGGATAATTATCAAAACCTTATAATTCCACTTTTTATTCCACTTGTGTGCTCTGTCCTGAATTTGAAAATGAATGGGAGTTCGTTCTGGCGGTGGCACAATGTGCCTGCAAGTAATTACTTCTGACTTCGTTAACGTGAACGTTGCTATACCTTGATCGTCTAGAACTTAAATAATTCTATATACATTCGATTGAAATATAGAATGTTTCGTCTGCTTAATTAATTAAGCGGGTAATTAAATGTATTCCTTTGATTTTTAGAGTCATCCAAATTTGTGTCAACAAGGGTTACGCGTGTGTAAATGAACATTACCAATTTGAAACTAATTACCCGGAGACGTTTCGTATAATTGTTTTACAATATATTGACGACTTGCTTTATACAGCATGTTACAATAATATATTTGTTAATTAATTTAACTAGAAGTAAAGTAGATAAAATTGGCAAAATTGGCAAAATTGTAATATACAGTTTTTCACTACGGACTGTAACGCCCGGGAATTTCCAACGCGGAACTTCACCAGCATTATTTAAATTCAAAAATGTGTTTGAGGAATGCATGTAGTTTGACGCTTAATTACTTACATATCTTTCATCGCAGATTATTCAGTGGACTTGATGTTTTATCCTTACAATGACCTCAAAATCGACTGAACTGTCCAAGGAAATTTCATTTAAATGATTTTACAGAAATCCAAAATTTTGATTGTATTTTTCATTATAGGTAACTGTTCTCTTCTAAAGATTCCTAAATTGTTTTTTTTTATTTAATACGAGCTTGGTATTTACCACATACCCTTTTTTACACCTTCAGGATCTTTCTTTATTTGCATCACATCATTATCACTCCCAGCATTAAGGGTCTTCTATCCTTTTTAAAACTACCTTGAACGGTCTTTCATTCTTTTTTTTACACATTCCCCTACTATATATTTTTATACTTTTATAGTGTTCGTAACATTGGCTGACCGCTACGTTACAGCTATCAAACACGGCGCTGTCCCAGATGTTGATGAGGCATTTACAGCTGTAGCGAAAATGGAAAATGCTAAAATTGAAAAAGTGGCTGTAAAAATCTTTGAAGTTAAAATGAAAAAAGAGAAGCTGCCAGTCTCTGAAAGAACTTTAAGAAAACGTTACACAAAGGCACAGAAGAAAGCGCTAGATCATCTTTGACAAAACGCTATTCATGACTTTGAATCGAAATGTGAAATTCAAGCTCAGGTAAGAGACCATAAATTAGGTTTATGAAAAACAGAACAGAAATTGTATTACTATTTGTACATAGTGCATCATCTACAATCTCTTATATTCACAAATATAATAGCTGCATGAAATAAATAAACAAAACCTTGCTATCATTTGTATGCAAAGGATGCCTTAGCTAGTCAAATTGCAAATAATTTAATAAAAGGTTGGGTTCTGCAGCAATAGTATCTTGATTCGGTTGGTAAGTTCTCGCAGCATATTAAAGTTTTTTGTTTTGGTTTCAGTTTAGTATTTCAGTCACAAGAAAAAAAAACTGTTAAAAATGTTAAAAGCTCATTGCACTGTATTTTGTTTCGCACAAGCTACAAATTTAAACATTTTATTTTTTCCACGAATTAAGCGTAAAGAATCGAATTCATTATAGTTATTTTATTAAAAGATAAGAATTTCATTTTATTGTGCATAAACATTACATCTCAGAGAATATAAAATGTTGTTTATCTCCATTCCCCGATTAATATTGGTACTTGCTTTCGAAACCCAAACTATATCCTGTTTCTAAATCAAATCTTTCCTTCCTTCCTTTTTTTGTATAAAATCAATGACCTTGTCATTTATCGATGGATTTCAAAATGAGTTTTAATTAAGAAATTTGACAACGTGCGCGTATAAGATGAAGGTTGTATACACTGATTTTTAAGAAACTTCATTTATATTAAATGTATATTGATGTTCATGTCAACAGTTCTGTCAATCATGGATTGATTAATAAGATAACTATGCAAAAATATGTTTGATTCGATACAAGAGTCTCCAGCTTAAAGATAAATGCCACACATAAACATCTATTAACTTAGAAGTGTTTGATGTTCATGTCCAGTCTATGGTCCTGTCATTCATTGAGATATCTCGAAATAAATATGCATACTGTGTTGCATTTTAAACGATGAGTTACTGGCTGGCAATAATGAAGTCTTAAGCAGAAATTTCGAGGTTACGGTATTATGTTAAAGAACATTATTAATTATACATGCTTGTTTAGATTACATAATGTCAACGAGTTGAGAAACCAAATGGTCATGGTCAAACTTGAATATCAAAAATTACAATATGATAGTGCATAGATAAGTATATTCTGCGATACTGAAAATACCATGGAAATGTTTGCTATTATTTCTTCGCAAAGGTCATGCTCTTTTTACTAGGCCCAGTTTGATAAATAATCAGAGATAACATCAATCATTTACAAGTATTAACTTTTTATTATTTGAGTCCATGACCGAGTGGTTCAGATCGCCGGCATCATAATATTTGGCTGTCATCGCTATGGATTCGATTTCAGTCGAGTGGAGTAGACATCGACTAAATTTGTTTTGTTCTCAGTTTCCCGTTTATGTCTGAAATAATGTATGAAGGGGCTACCACAAGCAAAACTTTACATTGTCGGTGTGATTTAAATCCAACTAGAATAAAAATCAAATTATTATTTCTTTACAGAGGAAAATGGATGCAATATGGGACAGTATTAACGAGATTAATGAGAAAAAAGTTCTAGAAAAATGTGAGAATACATTGCAAAATGTGTTTGTGAAATATCTTGAAAAGAAGTTAGAAAATCAAGAGTATGAAAAAGCAGGTGGTCATCGAAGTTTTAAGCGTGATGTTGAAAGAACCAAAGATGAATATGTCAGTGTTCTCAAAGACTTCGAGAAGAACGAGGTTAACGAATACTTTGAAATTGTCTTTCTTTATTTACTTATTTACTTTCTTTTTACTGTTTTTGTTTTGTTTCAATAAGAATGTTTACTGCTACCGCGATTTAGAAAACTGTATTAGCATAGATCGCCAATTTTAGAAAACTGCCATATTAAAATCCATTACATTCTTGATTAAATCTGAGCATTAAGTGCACAGATGTACCATTTTCTGATACCAAACGTGCCGTTGCGTGTATTCCTATTAAAAATGATAAAGACTTAACTTGACATTACCGTTTCTCTAGGTGTCTTTAGAAGAAATATATTGTTACCATCTGATGCATTTATAGGACTTAGCAGCTGACCTAAATTGATTCGCTGACCTAAATTGAAATGTTTAAAAAGCGTCTTTTCAGGTTCTATATACTATCTACAATTAAGATATTTTGCTCGTTTCATTACAAATTGCTAATTCAAAAGCACAATTTCTCTTGTTTAATCTGAGCATTAAGTGGACAGATGTGCCATTTTCTGATACCACGATGACCGCCGTGTGTCTTCCTATCTATTATGAATTCAATAAAAAGAAGACTAAGGCTAATCTTCTTTAGGAGGCCTTTAAAAAAACAACAACATTATAATGTTTTCATTTGACGCATTTGTATAACATAACAGCTGACCTAAATTGAAATGTTTAAAAAGCGTCTTTTCAGGTTTATTATATAATCTACAATTCAGATATTTGGCTCGTTCTATTACATATTGCTCATAAACCCATAATTGTCATCGTGTTAACATAACCTTGTGTCAGGCATATATTTTACTTAAATCTTAAAGTTTACAAATACATAATTTGGAGCCTACATATCTTGTATAACAATTGTCTACATTTTTTACTAATTGTGTGAATAGTGCCCACAAAGTCAAAAATTGCCCGCTTTAAAAACTTAGTGTTACAATTATGTTTTTGCAACTTTATAAAAATCATTATAAAGTGATTATACATAAAAAACTATTGATTCTTTTCATAGATTTTATCTACATGGTATGGATTTTTAGAAAAAAAAGACAACAGCTGAAGCAAGGATAGTTGAAGCTGATGAAAACATGTCACAAAAGGAGAAACAAGGTATTGGAAAACTGCTTTTGAAGCGTACTTAAATTTACAAAATATTGCATCTAGAACGAGTATTCTTGCATAACAGACTGGCATTTCCGTAAGTTTTACCCACTCCGAAAATTTCATCTGGCATAGGGGTGTAAGATGATTCGGTGCCATGCAACAACGTTATTGTAACGCATTTTATGAATAAACCGAGTTAAAATGACGTCATTTCGGCGCAAATTAGAACTATGTGATTCGGACGTCATTTCTCCATAGGAATAAATTTATACGCTGCTGTAAGAAACTAGATATTGATGAAATGACATTCATTGCCATGAACAAGTACCTTATTGAGGCAAACCGTTTAAGATATAAAATTATATGGCAGAATATGCAAGAAAAAAATATTTTACATATGATTGCGGTTCGGATCGAAATTTTCTCGGGTTTCCGGGTACCCATTGGCAAGCCTCGTAACCGCCCAATTAACGGTTTACCTTCGAGACGGATATTCCGATCTGAACCGTAACATATGACAGATATTTTATACCAAACCAACAGTGACGATGCCTGTAAAAAATAGCTGTATAGAATTATGCAATTCGATCAAAAAATATAAAACTTTTTGAAATTATTCACTGAAATGAAAATACTTGAATATTGACTGTTTAATACTCCAACGGAAAGTGATACTAATTGCTTAGCACTTAAATGTCTTTACTGGTTTCTCCATGTTACGCTTCATTTTCCACCCTATCAATGATAATAATGTAATGTTAATCAATATTTTGAACTAACAAAACGCTTTAATATTTTGTAACATGTGTAGCTTACTTTACATAACCATTGTCAACCTGTTCTGAGAATGAAAGCAAATGATTCAAATCTTAGCTTTGATAAGAGCAAAACCTATAATAGGTAAATATTAATAGTATTGATACAATTGAATAAATATTATTGTACGTTCCTAAACATGTGAAATTCGATTGAATCCGAATGCTTATATAAGCATAACTCATAGTCTAATAGTCAAAACGATTAATTTTTTAAGCCGAGCAAATGCGAAACCAAGAAAAACTTGAAGAATTATTAAAACAACAACAAAAAGCTCAAGATGATGCGTTAGACAAACAACAGCAATACTTAGAAGATCATTACGAAAAGCTAGATAAAGATCGTCGTGAACAGCAAGTAGCGAATAACGAAAAGTATATGGCATTAGTGAAAGAAAGGTTGGAAAAAGAGGCAGCACAAAAGGAAGCTGAACGCTGCAAACTTGCACAAGAAGCTACAGAAAGGGAAGCTGCACGCCTTAAAAAGGAACAACAAGATGCACTTGAGAAAGCTGTGCGCAACAAAAAAGAAGCTGCGCGCTTAAAAACAGAAGAAGACGAAAGAAAGAAGAAGTGGATGCCTTCTAGAGTGTTAGATGCGATCCAGAATAAATAAAATATGAGCATACATATGCCTACTTGGATATACTGAGGATGTCTTTAGTTAGTATTTATGGATGTGTTTTACGTAAAAAGGTGTGACATCGTCTTTATTTTATTTTACTTTGGTGTGTTATAACGACATAAAGGTGTATTGTTTTATGCACATAATTGCCAAACATTACAAATTAGCATTACATCTAGCTTCATATAAAATATATTTTTGATTTTATAAGTTCATTTTGAACAAACGCAATGAATGGTTTGTGACGTTTTCGCAATATTTTGTTCTTGAAATTTTCAAAGTCTAAACAGAAATGATTCAGTGTTTGGTATTCAGAATAAATTAATATACAGATGACAAATAAACAAGGTTGACTATTCAATGAGATGAGGTTAAAAGCTGAAGCGAGATTGTGCTTAAACGATTCAGATGTTTCTTTGAAAAGATGAGGATTTTACTAAAAACATATATTTTTGTCAGCAATCAATCACTTATTGATTAAATGTTTTCTTCTTGCAACTGAGATATATTGTTCTTGTCAACTTTGCATGAGTAATATATCCTTTACAAAATAGATATGCGTTATTGTTAAAAATAAAGTAGAATTAAATTTACATGATTGGTCGCTGTGATATATGATTTATTCTTTAAGTTATATTATCATCCTTTAAAGTGAAACCAGATGCACATTTTTTAGATAACGGTCAAGATTCGTGTATTTTTTGTGGAAGATCACTGAGCATTATTACATGCCAAATATTTAAGCCCTGGTCATCAAAGATTCATAAATAATACTTAAATATGTTTTTTTACTTCATTAATACTGTATAAATCAAATGACCTCAAGAGCGGAACAATATTTGCATAAAAATAAAGGGCATATTTTGTCATTTAAATAAGGTAATGCTACATAACATATATCGTAGCTTTGGACTTTATAGCTTCACACAATAAGATATACATATGTTTTCATTAACAATTATATAATTTTACGTTGAATCGTACTCTAGGTCTGCTTGCCTTCTTCTCAAACACACAAAATGTATAACAAAAAAATAAAGGACACAAGGACTTAAAGATACGGACAACTGAAATAAGATTAGCACAATAAAGTGCAATAAACAAAGTTAACAATAAAATCCGTATTTGGTGTGTACATGATAGGAATACCCTTCTGTAACATATATAATTATTATAGATAAGTTAAAGATTGACATAAACAGTGTCACGTCTTGCCTGTGATCTTGAACAATGTCTGTTTGAAATAACCAAGAAACACAGTAAGTTTTATGGGCATTTAATGTCAACTGTGAAAATTATGGTGTTCTACCTTTATTCATCCTGCTACTGTCTATATTATCAGATGGGTAAAAACTTATTTATCTCCAAGCATTGCGTCATATGATGATGTCACATGGTTAGCAGCAATACAAAGCTACACATAGACCTTGTTTTATCGGGGAAAAGTAAGAATAAAACCATTTTAATTTATAAAAACATGATCAAAGTAGACAAAAGCAGGATAAATCAAATACATAGTTGATGTCTGGATAGGAGAAGGTTTATCCGGTTCACTGCTAAACCTGGCAAATATACACTTTTTTGCTCACTAGATGAACCCTCTCCATCCCGACATCAACCATGTATTTGCTATATCACTTTTATATAAATAGGACTAATGCTATAATTTTTGTTTTGGTATTCATTCAGGATTTGTTTTTTTAGACAAAAAATAATGCCAAACGTCATAAAAATTTCAAATATGAAGCGTCTATAGAAACTATTTCTCTCATAAAGTATGATCAACCTTTCTTGTGGCCGGTTAAATAATTTTGGACCGTAGTACGGTTGCTCTGGTGGCTTTCTACAACGGTAATGACAAATCTGGCAAAAACCGGCTACTTTTTATAGTCTCGGAAGCTGGGGTATACCTTTGCATAGAGTGCCTAATTTTTTATTATCGTTATCATAGAAATATAGCAAGTGCCTACCGCCATGCTAAAATTGGTAGCGTGTGGCTATTTTTTTTTAATTTGAATTATAGCTTAAACGTAGCAAATGTTTTATTTTAAGTAAAATAAAAACAGTCCAAAACGCCACAAGAATAACGTTGTATGTGCATTCAGTGTATACATTGATGATTAAAAATCGATGTCATGAAGTTCTATTGTTCTATTTGAATAGTTTCCAAATACGTGTTTATTTTCGGACGTAATATTGATACGGTCCAAATATTTGCAAATTCCGAATGTAGAAATATTAACATTGTTTGAAATGACAAAAAATGATTTATGGCTGTTGTTTAATAATATACATTTTACAAATTTTGCAAGCAATATTATTCATATCAAGCGAACACATTTACAAAAAATAATGAACTGTGATTTAATTTACGTAGGTAATTAAACAGTATTTTACACCCAATACATTGTCACCCTCTCCTCTTAATCTAATCTGACATTTAAACAGAACTTTGGTCGATTTAGTTTTTAAGATTAACATTCTAATCTCAGTTTGTGTAATATTAGCGTTGCTGTGAAGTTGAAAAAATACGTTGCTCCTTCATTAAAATTGACGTCATTTTTGCAATACAAAATTAACAAAACGTTATTGCCTAAAACCGTTGTTAACAAGCTGGTCATTTGCATATGACGTCTTGATTTACACTGGATATCATATGATGTTACAATTACAAAAATAGAGTTTGCGCTAAAATTACAATGTTTTGCAACTCATTATTTGAGTAGTTACAGTTATGAAATCAAAGTGCTCCGTGATTCGTTGATCATGTTGCCATGGTGATTGGATCTTTAATAATATAACTCTTATCATGTTTTTGCTTAGAAATATGTAGTATGTAGATACTTTAGCAAATATTATATCATCAAATTGATATGACTGCTTATAAAAATTATATAGCCTTGTATATATATCTATATATATATATATATATATATATATATATATATATATATATATATATATATATATATATATATTATACAAGGCTATATATTATACAAGGCTATATATTATATTATATATATATATATATATATATATATATATATATATATATATATATATATATATATATATATATATATATATATATATAATGGTTTGTTGAATGAAGATAACTTAATGACGCAGCCAAAGTTTATAAGACAAAATTATGGAAAACACATATTTTATTTGTATTGTTCGACTTTACTGAGTTTGGGGTTTCTCCAAAAAGATTTTTATCGTTTTATCGTAATTGTTTTGTCTGGTCAACCGAACAAACTGGAATCATTGAACAGGATTTTGTCTCTGTTAGGCCGACAGATAAAAATGTCATTTTTTAGATATCTATTGGATTTGATTAACTCATGAAATTTGTATTGGTATAGCAGTTTTATTCTATCGATCAACCGAACAAATAGAGGATATTTGTTTAGTTCAGTGTAAGATCGGAATATATTTCACCCAGTATATTTCACGAGGTGAAATATAGTTCGATCTTACACTAAACTAAACAAATTTTCTTTTAATTATATGAAAAGAGTCGTTTAAAAAGACATTTTAACCTAATACTAAATGAAAAGCGCGCCAAATAATAGTACAACGTGACGTCATTTATGGCGTCACGTCATAAAGTTGGTTTCCAGTGCTGTGCACGCTAGTATTTCACTGAAACAACGATAGGGGCTTAAATTCAAAACAGTGAAATTATCAAATGCTGAAATGTACACGCTTAACGAACGAACGTTACTCCTACGCTTTATAAAAAGAAATACGCAAACGCAAGCAAAGCGATAAACGCTTAACGAAAAACGCTTAACGATAAACGCCTTTTTTAAACGGTAGAACGTAAAAATAACAACGTTTCAAAACGTTTAAAATAAAAAGTCGCATTACTATTTTTGTGAAAAGTAAAAAATACATTTTACCTTTTCAAAAACAAGAAGTATTTTGCTGTAAAAAACCTGGATCGTTCTGTTGGTAAAATAATAATACGGTACCGATGTGTATCTCCTTGTGTTGACAGCTCAAGTGAAGATACCTCAATGTGTTAACGGGTTTCAATAAACTGGAATGTGTCGTCTACACGTTTAGGAAAAAGTCGTCTGTAAACCAATTTGGAGGTTTCCTGTCGATACGCCCAAGGGCACCCGGAAAGCGACTCACTTTCTACTCCATTCAATATGACGGATTTGTTTTGAATAAAGAAGGAAACGCACAGTGCGCTGTGATCTGGATGAATGTATTTGACTGCTATCTCAATTGAGAAATTTATTTACTTACGGTCTCCTTTGTTAAAAGCTGTATAGTTAATCTCTTGCCGGCCGCCTTATAGGTCTGCAAATATATATGTCGCAGACCAAAAGATAAGGAAGGTTTCTGATGGACGCTGTGGGTAAAAGTACTTGGGACCTGGACAGAGGGTCTGTAAATACACAAATTATGCGTTTTCAAATAATTTCATTAGAAATCAAGAATCGCGGCTCTCGCCATCAAAATCTTTCAAAATAGTGCGCATGCTTAGTGTAGTTAATCAAAGAAGTAGAAAGTTAGATAGAGAGGCCCGTAATGGTGGTTAGTATATGATTTATATTGGGGTGAATGAAATGCATGATGAAAATTAAAGCTATAGGACATTTAATAGGACAAACAATAACACATATAAACATGTACGTATATGAACCTGTGACATATACAGACCTGTTAATGTTCTTTTGTTAATCATGTAACGCAGGAATGTTGAAAATATACAGGAATTGTGCAAAATTAAAGCTGGGGTTTTGGGGGGATATAAAAAAGGACCGAGTACACATTCATCAAATTAAAAGAAATAATTTAGCACCTTCGGCGGTGTTAGCGGACGAACAAAAGGCAACAAACTAAGACAATATATACTTTTTAAGAAAGAATATAAAACTGAACACTATGTACAGTCTGAAATAATAAAAAGACAATATAGGAGCGCATTATCCAAATTGAGATGTGGAGTTGCTCCTCTAAAAACGAGACTGGTCGCTATAAAGCTTTACCAGTTAATGAGAGAATATGTTTTAATTGTAGTAATAGCATTGAATATGATTGAATATGAGCTACATGTCCTTGTTAAATGTTCACTTTATTCGCGAATAAGAGGGGCGCTTTATATCGACATAATTATGTAAAACTAATGACAGATTTCTAATGTATTGTGATAATGAGAAATTCATATATTTGCTATCAAATGAAAATATTGTAAAATATTCTGCCAAAGCCTGTGTGAGGCGCAATTTATTATATAATGGCTAATTTTTACTCTGTACATATGTATCATAGTCAAAATCCGAATAATATTTAGTATGCGTTTGTTTTATGTGTGTAATATATTTAGTTTTATTGCCACCACATATTTCAGCTTTTAACATTTATTTATTTTAATATGTAAATATTTTGTTTAAATGGGCTTTTTATTTATGATCATGTTCATAGTCTCTCATAACTCTTTTAGAGTGTTTTATACACGTATTTCTTTTATAACTTTGTTA